ATTGATCAGGCTGAGGCAGCACAGCAGCCAGGTACTATGTCAGGGATGGTTGTGCTTAATGATATTCTTGTTTTCGCTTTGTTCGACACTGGAGCAACGCATTCTTTCATTTCACGACGATGTCTTAATGCCATCGGAATTCATGCCGTTACCGCTGTCGATCCTCTCGAGGTGAGTTTAGCCTCGGGACAAAAGATAGTGACCTCAACTAAAGCTTCAGACCTTAGTCTTTCCATCGGTGGCCGAGTATTGTCTACCGACGCGTTTGTTCTCGAGATGAGGGATTTCGACCTTATTCTCGGAATGGATTGGCTATCCTTTTATCATGCAGATATCAGATGTCATGACCGAGAGATTACTCTCCGTCTTCTGGGAGACGAATTGATCACTTTCTTTGGCTCCAGGAATCGTTCATTGCCTCATGCTGTTTCGATGGCGAAAGCCACTAAGTTGCTGCGACGAGGCAACTGCCAGGGTTATCTGGTGAGCCTTGTCGATGATTCTCAGAAAGCACGCTCACCTCACGATGTTCCAGTTGCTCGTGAGTTTGTGGACGTGTTCCCAGACGAGCTTCCAGGAGGACCGCCTAACCGGCAGGTGGAGTTCTCTATCGATCTCATTCCATGAGCCGGTCCCATATCCAAAGCCCCATACCTTATGGCGCCTAAGGAGTTGCAGGAGCTTAAGGCGCAGATTCAGGAGCTGTTACGACTCGGTTTCATCGGACCGAGTGTGTCACCTTGGGGAGCACCCGTTCTCTTTGTTAAGAAGAAGGACGGATCCATGCGCATGTGTATCGACTACTGGGATCTTAACCGGTTGACGATCAAGAACAAGTATCCGCTTCCCAGGATCGATGACTTATTTGATCAGTAGAGGGGAGCCTGTGTATTCTCAAAGATTGATTTACGATCAGGCTACCACCAGCTGAAGATTAAGGAATCAGATATCGTTAATACCGCTTTCAGGACTCGTTACGACCATTACGAGTTCGTTGTCATGCCATTCGGTCTCAGCAATGCTCCAGCAGTTTTCATGGACTTGATGAAACGTATTTTCCATCCCTACCTCGATCAGTTTGTTATTGTCTTTATTGACGATATTCTTATCTACTCGAAGAGCCAGAAGGAGCACGAGGAACATCTGAGGGTGGTTCTCGAAACCCTCAGACGAGAAAAGTTGTTTGCAAAATTCTCCAAATGCGAGTTCTTCCTCCAGCAAGTATCTTTTCTGGGTCATGTGATTACTCAGGCAGGTATCGAGGTGGATCCTTCCAAGGTCTCAACTGTTCAGAACTGGTTGACACCGAGGAGTCCGTCCGAGGTTCGCAGTTTTCTCGGTCTCGCTGGTTATTATCGCAGGTTCATCGAGGGCTTTTCTAAGATTGCCCTCCCTCTATCCTAGCTGACGAGGAAGTCTGTGAAGTTCGAGTGGATTGATCGTTGTGAGGCGAGCTTTCAGGAGCTCAAGAAGAGGTTAACTTCAGCACCGGTGTTGACTGTTCCCGATCCTTCTTAGAGTTTCACAATCTTCAGCGATGCTTCGAGACAGGGCTTGGGATGCGTCCTTATGCAGGATGGCCAGGTCGTCGCGTATGCTTCACGTCAGCTTAAGCCGCATGAGCAGAATTATCCGACGCATGACTTGGAGTTAGCCGTC